GGAGGCAGTTCTCTCTTTCCACCATGTGGGTCTCAGAGATCAAACTCAGGTTGGCAGCAGATGGCAGATGCCTTTAATTGAGCCATCTCACCAGACCCTTGTTACAATATTTTATTTCATTTTAAATTTGCTTTTTTTTAAAAAAAATCTTTTTGAGACAAGGTCTCTCTGTAGCCCCAGCTGGCCTGGAACTTGTAGACCAAGCTGGCTTTGATCTCACAGAGATCAGCCTGCCTCTCCCTCCCAGGGAGTACTAGGATTAAAGGCATGCACCAGCAAATTCGGTCCTTTGTGTAAGATTTCAAAATGGGACAATAGGGGCTAGAGAGCACTGGCTGGAACTTGAGTTCCAGTCCCAGTATCCACAAGGCAACTAACAACCCTTTATAACTCTGGTTTCAGGGGATCTGATGCCCTCTTTAAATGAATCAAGTTAAAAATAAAGTAGCCAATAATATAGTGAGGGCTGTTTTAAATTGAGGGTAGATTGGGGGTGGGGGTGGGGGCTGCGGGCATGGGACAGGGAAGGGGGTTAGGTGGTGGTCCAGGCAGAAATTATTAGCTTCCTAGACCAGGTGGGAGGAAGAGGGTTGGAGAGTATGACCAAGGATGCAGAGATGAAGGGGGAGTGAGTCTGTCATCTTCCCAGATTTTAGCTTGCCCAGCTGGGGGATGACAGACTCATTCCCTATGACAGAGAAATCTTGGAGAAGGACTTGGTTTGGGGAAAAGCATGAATCCAGTCTTAGACTGAAGTCTGTCATAGGGCAGACATCATGAATGGATGCTCTGGCTGTGGATGGTGTCATCCCAGGAGGGAGGATGAAGAGGAGGGGCTAGCCTGAGAATTTCTTCTTCCCATGCTTGGCCAGAGGTGGGAGGAAAAGAAGGAGACTGAAGTACAAATTCAGAGAAGAGTCTGTTTCCAGGACGGACCAGAGGTCCGAGGAGGCCAGTGAACCTGGAGACCCTAAAGTGTCAGCAGCAATCAATGCAGATTCACTGGTGAGTCTGTAGGAGATTCTGTGGCCTGTGTTGTGCAGGAGTTGAGGGCAGTGAATGGGGACAGCCAAAATGGATGTCTTCCTCCTCCACTCACACAAAATAAACTAATGTAATTAAAATAAAGTCTGGCTGTGAGAGGGTGAGGGTGGCTGTAACTGCAGAGATGTGGATTGAGGGAGGGTTTCTCAGGGTGAGTTCCCACAGAGTGGCAGGAGTCAGGCAGATATAGCAGTGGATGCTGTAGGTTCCATAACCTTCCCTCCTCATGGCTGAAGCATCAACTTCTCCAGTAGGCAGAGGCCCAGCTTGGTGGGAGTGATGACAGCTCTCATCTGAGCCCCTCTCTGAGATAAGATGCTTTGCCCAGATCCATGCCATCCAGTTAGGCAGCTTGTATGAGTATCTGGTTAATAGGGCAGCCGATAGGCTCATCCAGAGCTTCTGGGAACTCGACTGAGGCCAGACATAGGCCCAGCCCCGCGGCCTTCACCCCCCACAGGTGCTGGTCCTAAGTTCACCCAGGTGACCTCTTGCTTCTATTTTCTGGGGACTTCAACCTGACACCACAGCTCTCTGAGGGAGAAGCATGGTCAGTGACCAAGGGCATGTCTGGGAAAGAAAGGCATCCTGCCACCCCAGGGAGATGTGGAGAGCTGGGGAGAAGAGACAGGGGAGGAGGTACGGGTGCTGTGCTCAGCCTCACTGTGAGTGCTGTGTTTCATTGCTGGAAGGCTAGCCATCTGTGGAGAAAGAGGGAGGGAGGCAGGCTGGGGCTCTGGGGAGAGCTGAGGCCTCAAGTGATGAGCACAGGTGGTAGGAGAGAACAGAATTCCCTCTCCATGGCCACTGCAGAAGACAGTGGGGCAGGTACTCAGCAAGCAGGTGCAGTGTCACCATGGGACCTGGCAACACCACTTGTGTACCCAAGAGAACTAAAACTCACATGGGGGCCATGGAGTGGAGCTCAGGCCCCCATTCAAGTTGAAGCCCTGAGCCCTAGTATGAGAGTGTTTGGAAGTGAGGCTTTTGGGACTGACTAGGTTTAAGGTCATGATGTTGGGATCAGGGTTCCTTTGAGGAAAGACAGGAGCTTCAACCCTGCTGCCATTTGAGAACACAGCAGGAAAATACTGTCTGCAAGCCAAAGAGGCCCTCATCTCACTCCGCCCTGCTGGCAGCCTCATCTTGAACTTCTAGCCTCCAAATCTTTAAGAAATCTGTTTCTGTTGACTAAGCCACCTGGCCTGCAGTGTTTGTTATGGCAGGCCAAATTGACAAAGCCAGTGTGGCCACAGAAAAATTTGTATAGTAATGTCCGTGTCATGACAGACTCAAAAAGGCCATAACTCAAATGACCTTCAGTTATCATGTAAGGAAAGGTGGCAGCTGGGCTCAGTGATACAATCTTAGTACTTAGGAGGTAGAGGCGGGATGATCAGGAGTTCAAGGATAGCCTTGGCTACATATGGAGTTTTCAGCTAGCCTGGGCTACTTGAGACCCTGCCTTAAACAAAGATGGAAGATCCATGCAGTGAAATGAAAGGGAATGAGGAAGTGGTACAGGCGATGGCATGAAGGAACCTTAAAGATATTCTGCCCTCCTAGCTAGTAGGCAGTGATGGCCACAGAAGCAGCCACCTATAGTAATCAAGTGTAACAGGAGAGCCAGGGCAGGGTGAAGGGCAAGTATGAGCTGAGGCCCGAAGGAGACAGTAGCCCAGGGAAGGAAGGCGAGCAGAGCGCAGTCAGCCCCCAGGCACTATAGCTGAACTCTGGGCATGCTCTAGCCACAGGTCTGACACAGCTGTCCTGCACAGGAGAGGACATGGCTGGAAAGGGCCTTGGCCATGGCATAATAGATGGCTGCAGGGAAGATAGAGAAAAGGAAACCTGAGCAATGGATGGCTATGGTCATGTAGGTGAGAGAGTGGGAAGGTGGCTAGGAGCAGGCGGGTCTGGGAAGCTACTTAGGGCGTAGGAGGTAGAGACTGGGTGAGTGCCAGTGCTATCCTAGGAAACAGAGGCTGAGGATGTAGCTAAGTAGAGTGTTTATGTAGCATGGGTGAAGCCCTGGGTTTGATCCCCACCACTGCATAAACGGACGTGCTGGTATGAGCCTATAATTTCAGTACTTGGGAGATGGAGGCTAGATGATCAAGAGTTTACTCTCAATAGAGCTGTTTTTGGAAACAAACAATAACAACTACGGAATCCAAATGAAGAAGCTAATTAAGCAAAGGTTGAGGTTTTCAAGATGTACTATTAATGGGGAGAGCAGAGCAGAGTTCATGTAGCTATTTGCATTTAAATTTTTTGTTGTCTTTTTGAGACAAGGTCTCCCTAACTGGCCTGAACTTGCTATGGAGACCAGGCTGGTCTCAATCTCAGAGATCTGCCTGCCTCTGTCTCCCAAATGCTGGGATTAAAGGTGTGTGCCACCACACCTGGCTTACAATTTAATTAATTAATTAATTTTTTTTTTTGTCTTTTTGAGACAGGGTCTCCCTGTAGTCCCAGCTGTCCTGGAACTTGCTATGTAGACCCGGCTGATCTCAAACTCACAGAGATCCGCCTGCCTCTGCCTCCCAAGTGCTGGGATTAAAGGTGTGTGTCACCACGCCTGGCCCCAATTTGCATTTTTAAAGTGGAAAAGGCGTCTGTGTATATTTTTCACACGCATGTGTATTTACATATTTACACTAACTTGTGTTTGTATGGTTTCATTGTCTGTACAGTTGGTGTTTTGGTAGAATTAGATGTCTTGGAGGTCAGAAGTGTTGAGAGGGACTAGTTACAATTTTTTTTTCTTTTAATTTTGATAAAAATACATGTAACATAAGACTTACCACATTACTGGGCATGTAAGTAATCCCAGCACTTGAAAAGTAGAAGCAGGAATAACAGAAGTTCAAGGACACCTTGGCCTCATAGCATGTTCAAGACTAGCCTGGGATACTGAGACTCCTATCTCAAACAAAAACAAAAAACAACTAACCAACCAACCAGCCAAACAAACAAACAAACAAAAAATAGGAAGAAGGGCTAGATTTGCAGTTTCATGGCACACAGGTTGCACCTCGGGTATCTGGCAGTAATCCACACCATCAGGCTGGTGCATATTTGAACCTGCAAGAGAGCTGCATGAAGGAGACCTATATGTTTCAGGCAGAGAACAGTGAGTCTGAGGGGTAACCAGCATGAGAACTTGGCATGCTCCCAGGCTAGTGGGCAGGGGGTTGGGTGTGGTGGTGCATGCCTTTAATCCCAGCCCTTGGGAGCCAGGCAGATCTCTGTGAGTTTGAGGCCAGCCTGGTCTACATAGTGAGTTCCAGGCCAGCTGGGGCTACAGAGAGACCCTGTCTCAAATAAACAAACAAAACACCCAAACCACAATAAAAAAAACTCCCCCAAACTACTGGGCAAGCAGCCCATAGTTTTTTCTAGAGGCACTCAGGGCAGAGGCTAGACCACAGGACTCGGGGCACCCATGGGAGAGGTTCCCATATTCTGCAGAGGCATCTGATACACCTTTAGAGAGAGCATCTTGTGCTTTTTCCTGGCCTACTCTGCCCTTAGCCTTGGAATTCCTGCCATGGATTTCCTGAAGGCCCCAGGCCTCCTCTGTCTCCAGCTCTCTCCACAAGTTGAGGAATCTATGGGACCCTTTTGGAGGCCAGACCTTTCTCTTCAGACAAGATGACTGCTGTGTGGTACCCACAGCCCTGTCCCTGTGGCCCCAGGACATGTGTCCCTTCTGGGTGGCCAAGTAGTATAGGGGCTAGGGGCAGTTTGCACTCAGACTGGAGGGACCTCTTGTCTCCATAGGAGCCTCTCCTTGGGGCAGTCTGGCCCCACAGGTATGAAGATGGGGGTCAGGTTGAAGGCCAGGTCAGCTGTTCACATACCACCCTGCTCAAACATGAGCTCAGAAGCATTCAAGAACTTTAAAGTAGAAGCTAGCCTTCCAGGCCATAACCAAAGTACATTTGCCAAAGTAGGAGAATAGAACATATTTTATTTAAGAGTTGTTAGCTTGATTTAAGACTTTTAAATACATAGGGGTATGGCAAGAGGTTTCTACTCATTCTCCTCTCGGCCCCCCTGGCATCAGGGCTGGGCTTGTGTCCAGCCTTACCCACTTTGGCCCTGAGCTGCAAGGCTGATAGTATGTACAGAATCTGTGCCTCAGAGCACAGTGCCTGGCACATGAGAACACACAATAAATACTGACTGCAAGGAACTAATGGGGTAATCCAAATGAAAGGCTGGCAGAGTATGAATGCTCAATAAATATTAACTATTATTGTTTGTTGAATCACCGAATGTGGATGGGGCTGGGGGCTCAGATCCATAAACTGAGGTGGTGTGTGCATGAGGAGGGGCGGGGCGGCTGACCTATGTTCAGCCCTCCTTGTAGGAGGCTGTGTCCTCCCCTCATCCCAAAGGCCTCTCCCAGCTCTTCGTATGGTGAGCAGGCACCAGGTAGGCACCCTCCTATTCATGTTATTTCTCTTCTCCCAGAACAGCTGTGATAGGTTCCCTGACGCCTTTCCTCACTTCCCCAAGCCCAGGCAGGATACTCAGGCTTGGTGCTCTGCTCTGTCCACAGGCTATGCTGGGGTAAGGTGGGGAATCATCCTCTTCGGTAGAGGCTGGGCTTGCTATAGGAGGAGCCTTTGCAGGGAATCAGATCACTTAGGGTATCTTTAAGTCTTCAACCCCTGCAAGCCCCAGTTCCCTCTTAAAATGAGAGCATGTGTAGAAAGTGCAGGTCAAATAGCAAGTGCAGGGTAAGCACGTAGTGGACATGAAGAAACCTTGCACAGAACAGGTATGGACCAGAGAGGGAGAAAAGCACATGAAAAGCCCTCAGGTAGCCTGCAACAGGGCAGCACAGGAGTGTGAAGCGGAACAACACAGGGTCAATGGCTTGGGCTGGCAGCCAGGGGTTAGACCTGCCTCGGGAGAAGAGACAGTGGCAGCTGCTTCATGATCGGAACAGGAACTCCTGCACAGCACGGGGCCTATAGGGACTCCAGGAAGGCCTGGCCAGGTACAGGGCTGATGAAGCCAGGAAACCCTCACCAAATTCCCCCTCCCAGCAGTGGCCCTAGAAAACAAACGCTCACCCCCACATTCGCTCATCCTCACAGTAGGCGGCGCTGTAATCAAGAAAAGGCCCAATGAACCCCTAAAGGGGACCCAGCAGGGAGAAATCACATTTCATAAGCTGCCCACTAGGGGTCATCGTACCCTCCAAATGGAGGGGCGCAAAAGTCACAAGTGCCTGCCGCGGGGTGGGAGCGGAGGGTCTCAGGGAGGTCCAGCCTCGTGGTCGCCAGCTGCCCAAGGCCCACGGTCAGTGCGGCGGGAAGATGTCTGCACACTGCTGCAGGATGAGCTCCACCACCTGGTTCTGGAACACCATGTTCATGGGCATGCTGGTCTCCTCCGTCTCGGGTCGCAGCAGTGTGGGCCCGAATACTATGGCCACGCTCTGCACTGACATGCGGTTCTGCTCGCCATGCTCGATTACCCTATGGTCAGTGGGATGAGAGCTCAGGAGTCGGGGAGTCCCACGAGGGGCTCCAGCCATGACCAGCCCTCCCTTCCTGGCCCCAGGAAGCTGGCTTGCTTACCTGCACAGGTGCTGGATGAGCAGCCGGAGCGTGTCGTGGTTGGGGGCTGGCAGCTTGCGCACCAGTTCTCGCACACAGCGGCTTCGCTCGGCCTGGTCCTGCATCTCTGGGTAAGGGAAGGAGCCAGAGATGGTCTATTGGTTGTGACAGAAGCAGGCCAGCCTCCTCATCCCCCCTCTCCCCTAGATGCTCACTGATGGCTGCGATGAACATGCGGAAGTGGGAGAAGGGGAAGAGGGGTTCCGGCAGCTCTCGGAAGAAGAGCTTCAGGGCGCCGGTGATCACGTGGACGTCCTCCCAGCGCCCATCGTCCAGATCCAGACGCTCATCTGCGGTGGGGAAGGAATGAGAAGATTCAGTGGCAGTCAGCAGTTTCCTGCACCTTCAGGCCCCAAGGCAGAGCCTGGGGCGGAGTCTCACCATGATCCGCCTTATAGCGCAGCTTCTGGATGGTGGCCAGGTTTCCACTGATGCGGTACAGCCCGTCGA